CTCTTCCCGCAGCACCGTCTCCGAGACACCATGGTGAAAGTGAAGGCCGGAATAAACGGGTGAGTTTGGGGGTGCCAGGGTGGGGCCCTGGGCTGCGGCCGCCCCGCATTGCGTCTGCAGGCCTTGCCGGCCCGAGTCTTTGCAGCCGGGTGGGGAGGTAGGGGATGAGGGGCTGTACCCCCCGCCAAGGAGAACTCAAGGTCAGCGCCCAGACCTGGCGGAGGTTCTCGCCTCAAAAGGCCTCGTGTCCCCTACCCCTGGCTGTTGCGCCTTAGGGAGCTCCGCCCATGCGGCACAGGCTGCCTGGAGCTTTCCACTGAACCCGCGGTAGAGAAACGACGCAGCCCCCGTTCTCGCTTGGCGTCCATCCCCATCCCCCAACGGGGGCTCTTTTCTTCCCTTTGGCGCTCTCCGGGGTCACGTGCCAGGAGAGGCGCCCCTCCCCCACAGCCCCTGCCCGCGGGGTGCAGTGCGCAGCCTGCGGCACCGGCCCGGGCGCGCTGCGGTGGCGCGGCCGCCATGTTGCAACCGGGAAGGAAATGAATGAAGCCCGTTAGGAAATCTTCCCGAACTCTGCAGTCTTCCTCCTGCCTCAGTAGGGCGGGGTTTCCTTTATCCCGTAAACCAGGTGAAGCAAGGCTTTACCGGCTCTTGCTCGCAGCGGGGCTGGCCCTCAGAACCCGCCCTCGAGCCGCAAGCGTGATTTCCCTTCATCTAGGGCGACGTATCCTAGATAATGCTCTGACGGATCCAACAAGTGGGTTTATGGAGGTCCTCTTGTGCCCCTCCCTCCCGGAGTGTGGTAGCTGCGGCCTCGTGCCAAGCCAGGGGAGCTGAGTCACGGGTAGTTAGAAAATTTCCACCACAAAATGGCCCCTGTGGCAGCAGCCCCTCCTGCGCCGCCGCACCTCGCGGCTCCGGCCCACGCACGCCTAGGGCTGACCTGACCCTCAAGGCCAGGCGTAAAGGTCACTGGGAGGATTGGGTGTCTGTGAACCTCGGGAAGCCTGCCCTGCTCCCAGCTCCATCCTTCAGAAACCAGATCTCCGCTGCCCTGCTCCCAGGTTAAATATAGCCGCTGACCTTTCTGTCCTGGGGCCTGGGCTGCAGGGCCCACCGCCTGCCCCACTTACACCCTGCTGCGACCCTCCGGGTTTCTGGAAAAGAGCTGGGAAGCACAGGAAGCGTAGCAAGTCAGCGTCTAGCAAATCAGAGTCGTGGGACAATGGGGTGGAAAACGGACTGCTTTCTCCATCCCTGCGCCTGCTGCAGAAGGAGCTAGAGCAGGGGTGGGCTTACCCGGTGGGGTTCATTTCTGACCTTTGCTCCTGCCCTTTGAGCTTGGTGACACTGAGTGTACAAGTCTTTTCTCCCTAGAGGGCGTAGCTTGAAGCTGGGCCAAGGCAGCAGCAATCATTCCCAGGGTACAGATAGTGGAGTGACAAATCCACGTGCCAAGCTTGTGCCCAGACTGTGGGGGGCAGCACCCCACGCCGCCACTTCTTGAAGAACTTGACGGCTGGGTGTTGGGAAGGACAGGAGCCTTCACGTATGGCTGTGCTGTGCAGCGCAGCCGGGCCAGCCTGGCAGGGTTGCTCAGGGAAGATAAAACTAAACCTTTTGGGACTTCCTGGGACGGGAAATACTGTGCTCTCCCTCTTAGGGGGAGCAGGCCTAGGGCTGCACACGGGCCAGGTGGAGCCCTCCCCTCCTTGCCTCATGCCTTCTCGCCTCTTGTCCCTCAGCTTTGGCCGTATTGGGCGCCTGGTCACCAGGGCTGCTTTTAACTCTGGCAAAGTGGACATTGTCGCCATCAATGACCCCTTCATTGACCTCAACTACATGGTGAGTGCCCCCCTGCAGCTAGTGTGAGGAACTGCCTGGCTGAGGGCAGCCCCTGATGCGCCCGCTTGTCCCCCAGGTCTACATGTTCCAGTATGACTCCACCCACGGCAAGTTCCATGGCACAGTCAAGGCGGAGAACGGGAAGCTTGTCATCAATGGCCATCCCATAACCATCTTCCAGGAGTAAGTGTAGAAGGTGGAGCAGCAGAAATGTGCTTCGGGGAGGCACCTAGGATGGCGTGACCCCCTTGGATGTGTAGGTACTTCATGTCCCTCGACTTGGTCCTCTTCCCCCCCGCAGGCGCGATCCCACCAAAATCAAATGGGGGGAAGCGGGCGCCGATTACGTTGTGGAGTCCACGGGCGTCTTCACCACCCTGGAGAAGGCCGGGGTGAGTGCCGGGGGCTCCGGAGGGGGGAGCTGACTCGGCCCCACCGGGGCAGAAGCTGGGTTTGTGACCAGCTGCTCCCCTGCAGGCTCACCTAGATGGGGGTGCCAAGAGGGTCATCATCTCTGCCCCCTCTGCGGACGCCCCCATGTTTGTGATGGGCGTGAACCACGACAAGTACCAGAACAACCTCACCATCGTCAGGTGAGGAGGGCGAGGGGTGGAGGAGGGGCCGGGCGGGGCAGGGGTGCGCGCTTTCCCCTGACTTGCCCGTGTCTTTCCAGCAATGCCTCCTGCACCACCAACTGCTTAGCCCCCCTGGCCAAGGTCATCCATGACAACTTTGGCATCGTGGAGGGACTCATGGTATGAGAACGGCGGATTCATTCATTTCTCGCCTGGCACCGGGGCCTCCTCCCACCTTAGAACCTGGCGCTGGGGTTAGGGGCGGAGGGATTGGCCCAAGTCTGTCCCTTAATTCCTCCCAAGGTGGGGCGTGAGGTTGAAGGGCGAGTGGGCGCCTCTGCGGGGCCTCACGCGCTCACTCCACATTTCCAGACCACAGTCCACGCCGTCACCGCCACCCAGAAGACCGTGGATGGCCCGTCTGGGAAGATGTGGCGTGATGGCCGTGGGGCTCTCCAGAACATCATTCCTGCGTCGACTGGCGCAGCCAAGGCCGTGGGCAAGGTCATCCCCGAGCTGAACGGGTGAGGTGTTGCGCCCCTGGGAAGCGGGAGGCAGGCAGGGGGCTGGGAGAGCTGACACTGACCCTGCCTCCGTGCCCACAGGAAGCTCACTGGCATGGCCTTCCGCGTCCCCACTGCCAACGTGTCGGTGGTGGACCTGACCTGCCGTCTGGAGAAGCCGGTACGTGCGGCTTGGAAAGGCTTGGAGGGCTGGGGTTTGTCTCTGTTAAAGTGGAAGTGAAGTGGAACTTGAGTACCCACCTTGCTTTTACCTTATCAGGCCAAGTATGATGACATCAAGAAGGTGGTGAAGCAGGCGGCGGATGGCCCCCTCAAGGGCATCCTGGGCTACACTGAGCACCAGGTACCGGGCAGGGCAGGGAGCTGGTGTCCCCGCGGCCCCACTGAGCTGGGCCCACGTACTTAGCCCTCTCCCTTTCCCAGGTTGTCTCCTCCGACTTCAACAGTGACACCCACTCTTCCACCTTTGATGCTGGTGCTGGCATCGCCCTCAATGACCACTTTGTAAAGCTCATTGCCTGGTACGTGGCTGGGGTGGGGACAGGGCTCAAGAGAGTCGTTTGGGGTCTGGCGCCCTCTGGTGGCTGGCTCAGAAGAATAACCCTTAATGACTCGATCATTTTTCTAGGTATGACAATGAATTTGGCTACAGCAACAGGGTGGTGGACCTCATGGCCCACATGGCCACCAAGGAGTAAGAGCCCTGGACCACCAGCCCCAGCCAGAGCACAGAGGGAGAGAGAGGCCTCAGCTGCTGGGGTGTCCCTGCCTACTCAGTCCCCACCTCCCTGAGAATCTCCCCTCCTCACAACATAGTTTCCATGCCAGAGCCCCTGAAGAATGGGAGGGGCCTCGGGAGCCCCACCTTGTCACGTACCATCAATAAAGTTCCCTGTACTCGGCCAGCTCTGTTTTCTCTTATCTGGGGTCTAGGTTGACGGGGAGGGGTGCTGGGTGGGGGCTGAGGGGAAACACCTCTTGCTGAGGATACCAGGGAGGGTCCTGGCATACCCCAGCCAGGTTTGGGACTGGGAACCCAGACAGCCTTACAGAGCTGTGTGCGCCCTTGTCCTCTCCTGTCCGGGGCCTCTGGGTGCCACAGAAGCCGGTGCTGCCACTTCAGAGAACAAGGCTATTTCCTCACCCTGCTCTAGCCCCAGATCACAGGAAGGACCTCCGCTGGCCACCCCCAGGGAGGGCAGGCTAACAGGAAGTCAGGGCTTTGGAGTTGGACTCTGACCTCGACCAGTTAGCAGGGTGCAGCGAGGTACTGAGCAAGTTCTCTACCCTTCTGTGCCCTGGTACTTTATCTGCAAAACGAGGGTGTGATGGTAGCCGGCTCCTAAGGTCTGCAGCAGGACTAAATTAGGCAAACCACACAAGCACCTAGGGCCATGCCCAAGATAGTGAACACTATATAATGTTTAAGATCAGCAAAATAAGGTAAAGGCCCACTTCATAGTTTCGGGGAAGATGAACTGAGATGTATGAAGTGTCAGGATGACATTTCCAGCATCATACTTAGGGGAGGCACATGGGCTCTGCCACTTCAAGGCTCTGGCTGTGGGCAAGCTACTCAGCCTGTGCTCAGCACATGCACACGTGTAAAGTGGAGACGAGAACAACAGTACAAACCTCGGTTAAAACTAGTTACCATCAGAAAGTGCTTGAAACAGTGACACAAAAGTGCTCAGTAAATACTCAGTTTCATTGTTATTAACGAGTCCATTCCACTGTCAGCTCAGCACAGCCTCCTATACTGACGTCTCCCCAATTTCTCCAGGTTTTTCCACGTCGGGGACGACTTCTTAGCCTCTTGGTCTGGGTGTGTGGCAGACAGCAGAGGCACACCTTTGGCTGATACCAAGAAGCAGAGAGCACACAGGCACATACCCTTGTGCACATACAGGGAGCTTCCCGTCCTGTCACTCGGCAGTGACTGGGAGACAAGAGCTTCCACCTCCCTTCAGGATGCTGCTCCCAGTCCCAGGCTCTTAGGTCTCTTTCAAGCATGGCACCCCCGCCAGGGGAGGGTCACAGCCACACACACCGCGCAGTCAGCAGGCGGACAGCCCTGGGCAGGTGGAACAGTGGGGTGCAGAGCGCCCTCTAACAGCGGGGGAGCCCTCTGCACCGGTGTGTGTTGCGAAAGCCACTGCGGAAGCCCCGGCTGAATTCACTTCATACCAACGCCTAGGCCAGTGAGCACCAGCGCGGAATCGAGGACAGCGCGCTGGCTCTGGACCACAGGCATGGAGGGACGGTCCCGCATTCACATTCCTGACACGTGGGGGTGAGGGGCTGCGATCACTCTGGCAGCAGTTAAAGATGGGGAAGTAGCGGTCACCCACACGTGAAGGCGGGAAAGCCCCGAATGTGGTGGGAGTTGCCCAGGAAGGGCAGGGCCAAGCCTAGCTCCAGACACCCCAGAACCCTGGACAGGCCAAGCCCAAGGAGGGAAGCCCAAGGCAGGAGTGCCCCAGTTCCCAGGGGCCAAGCTTGGTGCGGTGGTACAGGGATACCCCCTCGGGGAACCCCTTGCCCTCTGCCTCGGTGTGTTCCCAGAAGCATGGGGCCTGGGGGAGCGAGGTGAGACGGGCTCCTATCTCATGGAGCTATCAGATGAGACATCACGATCGGAGTCCTCAGTTTCGCTTGGCGGCGGCGGCGGGTCGCTAAACGGGACCGCAGTGAAAGCAGGAGACTTTCTAGAAAAAAACACCGGTTGTCACCTTGGGGCAGGCAGAACCCTAATGAGGCTGGCATCCCTCTTCCTGTGGCCTTATCCTCTGGCAGGCAGGTGAACACCTCAGGCAAGGGCAGGGGGCCCATCGGGGAGGGTGGATGCAGGGGGAGGAGAGAGGGGTAGGGGAGAGAATTCTCTCGAACCCCACCCTGATGGGGGAAATGGTCCCTGTCCTCTGTCTTAGACACTTTGAGAGGCTCAGAGGTCAGAAATATCCGAAGTCACAGCACGAGATGCCGCTTGAGCCTAGGTATACTGACCCTGGGGCCCTGACTTTAGGTCTATCTGTAGGATTATTGTGATTTTTAAAAATTTACTTTTTTGTTGAGGTGTAACTTACACAGGGTCAAATGTACAAATCAAGGCTCTGACTTTAGATAAAAATCTGCCCCCAAATTCCTTCTGTTCCCTGATAGTTTTTAAGCTGCCTCTAACCAGGGGAACCACCAGAGCTGGTGGCATTGGGAGGTTTCAGCCCTCCGGCCACAGATGGACACAAGTATCACCCAACTGCCAAGGAAGAGAAAGCTGTCAATCTGGGCCAACCATACCAGGTGACTCCCAAAGGGCAGCCCCACCTCAAGATGGGACCGAGTGACTGTCGGAGTCTGCAGGGCTTGCCAGCTGTGGGTCGTGTCCGCCCTCCCTCCCTGCGCCACACCAGGGGAGGCCCCTACCGGTCCCCAGACTGGGTGATGAGCCGGCGGCAGGTCTCCATCTGCACGTCCAGGCCGCGCTTCATACTGCACATCTCCATGTACTCGTGCAGGTGCCGGTTCATGTCATTCTTGGCTGTGGCCAGCTCCAGCTGCGGCAGGGCAGGCAGGGCCACTGGGGTTAGCAGGCCCAAGGCAGAAGGGGCCACGGCGCCTCTGCTCCCCACCCCCACCCCCTGCAGCCAGGAGGCTAACACGCCAAGAGCACCAGCTGGGCCGGGGCCCAGGCAGCCATGGTTGAAGGCTCCGATTTAAAAATAAACCAGACCGAGGCAGAAGGCACTGAATATACTATCATTTCCTCTGGTTTTCCTGAAAATCTTTTGCTTTCGAGGGATGCAAAGGTATCTGCCACAGGCAGCATTCTTTTAGGAGACTGATAAGAGCAACGAGGAAGGAACGTGCACGTGGGCAGGATGGAACAGATCACGGGATCACGGCCCGCCGCGCCCGGCTCACCCCTCATTCCCTGGGCATCGCTGGTCCTGGCTGTCTCCCTGCTGCACTGTGAGCCCTCTGAGGGCTGGCCCTGGGTCTCCTTCATCCCTGCAGGCTCAGCCCCTCACGGGGAATTAACTTGCTCTGTGAAGCAGCTGCAGGACTCACGGGCAGGATGAAACCTGGCTCGCTGCTGAAAGGGGCTCATTTCTCTTACTATTCTCTTCCTACCTCATTTTCTCACAAGCCATTCCCAGACACTAAAAGAAAGACTGCCACACTGACTGTCCTGTTGATTCTAAGATGTGTCCCAGCTTCAGAAACGTACGTGGAGCCGCAGGGCTCAGAGTCAGGCAGTCCCCCTCCCAGCACCCGCTCTGCGGCCCAGGCTGAGGCAGCACAAGATCTGGCCAGGGGCAGTCTGCTGCCTCTTTGTTTTGGGTACAAGTGCAGCGGCCAGGAGAGGCAGAATCAAGCGGTGTGGAGTGATCTGCGTGACTGCCTGAGCGCAGAGAGAGGAAGGGAGCCGCCTGTGACTAATCTGCATTGGACAGAGAGGATGGGAACCTGGGGAAAGAAGGAAACGAGCCACAGGGCCAGACAAAAGAGATGGTCGGGACAGTGACATTCGGGGTGAGAGGGTGGCTGGGTGAGCCTAGTGGGTATGGCAGGCTCAGTCCCACAGCTGGGGTCCCCGCTGGGATCCCACAGCGGCAAGAGGAGCAGGATATGCTGGCTGTTCAGTCCAGGGAGAAAATATGATGCCACCAGCTCTTGTTCAGATCCGCTGCCACCTATACGTCAATTTCTCCACGGGGAAGAAGGAAATGAACCAAATACGTTGTATCAAAATAGGAGGCTAGTACTGCCTCCAGTAGTCTCTGCATATTTCCACGTCCTCCTTAATTCATGCCCTTAAAGCAGCAGTGAGATAAGGAGATGATTGTACAAGTTAGGAGATACATCCTCAATGCCAACTTGAAAACCTCCGGCTCCCAGCATGAGTAGAGGTGGGGGAGGCGGGGGAGATGGAGTGAGGTGGGACAGGCAAGAAGAACTTCCCCCTACCATTCTGGGCCTGGTCCCTGCCTCTGTCTCAGTGACCCTGAGAGATAAAGGCCGCAAAGATACAGGTCCCTGGATGCTCCAGATGGATCCCCACGTGGACCACTGCGCGCGAAGTCAGCAGGTCAGCCCCCCTGCCATTGCCCGTTGTCAGTCTACTGGGACAGGAGGAGTCGGATGACTCGAAAACAGCTGAAAAAGCACATTTCCATTGAGGATGTTCTTTTCTTTCTTACCAGGTCATGTTTTACACCAGGCACTCTGGTCCAGGGCAAGAGCCAGATATAGACAGCAGCCCCAGATCACTGCTCTGGGGCCCCTACTTGGTTGAAGGCACAGCAGAAATACCAAACCTCAAATCTACCATCCAAAAGAGGTGGGCAAGGACCAAGAAAAATGGAGGGGGTGGGGGAGGGAGGAGTGAGGCGGGGCAAATAGGAGAATGGAGATCAGTTCTCCCTGGCCATGTCTTTAGCAAGTAGCATAACTCTGACTGTGCCTTTAAAACTTAGCATTAGTCTGCCTGGCCAAAAAAAAAAAAAAAAGTTCTGCTTAGAGGAGCGGGACTATTTGATGTGTGTTAGGAGAATGAGTACGTAGGGAAATAATCTCTCGACTTCCTTCTGAAAATGTAGCCAGTGTGAGAGCAATCAGAGTAGCCCCCCTATTACAATGGCTTCCCTTTGAGCAATTTCAGCTACCTGTGGTCAACTGTGGTCTAAAAATATTAAAATTCCACAAAGAAATAATTCGTAAGTTTTAAACTTCATGCTGTTCTGCATAGCATGATGAAATCTCGTGCCGTCTGCTTCCATCCCACCTGGGACGTGAATCCTCCCTTTGTCCAGCGGGTCCACCCTGTCTACTCTGCCCACTGTCTACTCTGCTGGTGACTTTAGTAGCTATCAGGTCCGCTGTGGTGGTATCTCGGCAGTTTATTTCGTAATGGCCCCAAAGCACAACAGTGATGCTGGCAATTCAGACATGCCACAGAGAAGCCGGCAAGTGCTTCCTTTAAGGGAAAAGGTGAAAGTTCTCAACTTAATTAAGAAAAAAATCCTATGCTGAGGTTGCTAAGATCTACGGTAAGAAGAAACCTCCTTCCATGAAATTGTGAAGAAGGAAAAAAGAAATCCATGCTAGTTTTGCTATCGTACCTCAAACTGTAAAAGTGACAGCCACAGTGTGAGACAGCGCCTAGGCACGATGGAGAAGGCACCACATTTGTGGGTGGAAGACGTGAGCAAAGCTGTTTTCTGATTGACGGCCTTGGGCTCAGTACTCCCCAAGGTTTCAGGCATCCATGGGGGTCCTGGGACATAATCCCCTCAGGTCAGGGGGAACCGCCGCAGGAAAATGCCACGTGGGCTTGAAAAGAGCCTGACGGTCAGAGAGTCTCCCCGCCTCATCCCAAGTCAGAGCGTCGGCAAAGGACCATCTCACACAGGGCAGGACGGCTCGCACGCAGTCACGCCCAGCCCTCCCTCCATAGCAACCTCCACTCTGTGCTTCCACAAATCCTTCCTGCAGCCCCTAAAGGCCTAGAGTTTAACTTAAAGCATCAGCTCCACCTGCCATCTCTAGAAGGTTCCTCAAGGCTTGAGAATAAGCCTGGAGATTTCTCCATTACCTCAAAGGCTGAGCTGAAGAAGCAGGAAAGTTCACGTTCATCTCTGAGTGCTACAGCATGGACAGTATTACCAACAATAAGACAAGGACCATTATGGTATACTTATTATGAGCCAGACACTGCACTAAGCTCTGTATCTTTTAAGAGACAGGGTGTCGCCCTGTCACCCAAGCTAGAGTGCAGTGGCACGATCATAGCTCACTGCAGCCTTCAACTTCTGGGTTCAAGTGATCCTCCTGCCTCAGCCTCCCGAGTAGCTGGGACTACTGGGCGTGCACTACCACACCTGGATAATTTTTCTTTTAATAGAGATGGGGTCTTGCTATGTTGCCCAGGCTAGACTCCAACTCCTGGCCTTAACCAATCCTCCTACCAATGACAGGAACAGAAACATGCAGAGTCACCAAGGGCCTCCCAAAGTGCTGGGATTACAGGCGGGAGCCACTGTGCCTGGCCCATTTGATCTTCTAAACAACCATAAAGGGGAGGTATTATTAAACTCCTCGTTTTACAAATAAAGAAACAGGCTCAGTAGAGAACAAGTAACTTGTTACAAGTTAAGAGTGGATGTAAATGACAGAGCTGAGATCTGAACCCATGTCTATCTGCTTCCAGAGTCTGAGGCCTTAAGGGCCCACCAGAGGTAGGTAATACTGCCAAGAGATCACTCCTCCCCACAAAAGAAAGGGAAAGGCCCTGGTCTCAAGGGTCCCCCAGGGAGGAGGCTGCTGCACCTGCAGCTCCGCTCATGACCCACCGGGGAACTGTGCCTCCTGGCTTCCACTCGCGCCCTTACCTCTATCTGGTCGATGGTTTCCTGATATTCCTTCTCCCGGGTTTTGAACAGGGACTCAGTATCTTTAATTACCTTCTCCAAACTGTCCTCCTGCTGCTGGAGTAGACAGGGGAGCAAGGCGCAGGCCAACCAGGGAGGGACGGGATGGGCACATCCCGCAGGGCCAAGGCAGGGAGAGAAAGAGAGAGTCAGGTTAAGGGAACTGGAGGAAGAACAGCAGAGGATGAAGGCGGAGGGGAGAAGCGGGGAAAGCATGACGGCCACACGGGGAGAACAGAGCGAGGAGTGGGGAGACAGGGCATCGGGCTGGACAGGCAGAACTGGCGGCCTCTGAGGCGGGAGGGAATGTTACCTCTCCCTGGGCCTCTGCAGCTGCCATGGCATAGCCTGAGAAATCCTCCCAAAGCAGCAGGGTCTCCTCAGTCTCCTCCCAAGTCAGGCTGTCACAGTCGTCCTCAAAATCATACTCCCTCCTAGAGACAGGGAACCCGTGTGTCAAGGAGGGCGGGGGCGGCCTCCTGGTGGAGGGGCTGCGGGGAGCTCCGGCCTCTCGTGGGGAAGGGCGCCGAGGGGCTGCGCGGGCAGCCGCGGACTCACAGCTGGCTGAGCATGCGCTGCATCTCCTCGTTGATGCTGAGGGCTGTGCTCTCCTCCTCATCCCCATCGGGCTGGCGGGGCCCGTCACTCTCCGACAGGGAGGTGTCCTCCTCCACGGCAGCCTTGCGCTCCCGCTTCCGCCCCCCCATGGATGGGACCTTAATGGGAGACAAGTGCAGAGACTACAGAGACGAGGCCGGGTGCGTGAGGAGAAGGGCAGGGCCGGGGCGGGCAGACGGGGACGGGAGAAGCATGAACCAGAGGGAAGGGTGGGGCGGACAGAGAGAAAAGTCACAGTTACAATGACAGGAACAGAAACATGCAGAGTAACCAAGGGACTGACACACACAGAGGGGCCAGGGCTGCAGGCTGAGAAGGCAGAAAAAGAAGAAATAGAGAAAAAAGAGCAGTAAGACAAGGGAGGAATGGCTTGTCAGGACCTCAGTCAGATGTGCATAAGGGCTAGAGAGGAATTTCTTTTCTAAAGAAAAGTCTTTCTGATAAAGTGACTCAACTAAAAAGGAGGTTTTAGGCTGCAAGGAGGATGAGGACACAGTGTTTATAAAGGAGAACTTGAATCACATCCAGATCTGGAAAGCCAGGGAGAGAAGGCAGAGAGTGAAATGAAATAAAGAGAATAAGAGAGAGAAAAGGAGGGAAGAGCGAGGAGAGAGAAAGGGGAGAAGAAATCTGTGCTGAAGAGCCGCAGGTCGAAACTGACAGCCAGAGGGCCCAGGTGGTTTAGAAACTGGGACTGGGACATTAATAAGCTTGCGTGAGATCACACTAACCAGCTTCTTCTGTGGAGAAAGCAAGAGAGATGAAAGCAAGAGAGAGGAGAGGAAGCAGGCAGAGGAGAGAGAGGGAGGGAGAGATGGCGTTAGAGACAGCTTCCAAAACTTCTCTCCTGAGGCTGCTCCTGGCCCCCCAGCCTAGTCCCACCGAGGGCCCCAGGAGCCAGGATAAGGAAGGACCCCAATCTGGAGGGCAAGGCCTGTGTTCTAGGCCGGCCACGATGGAAGCTTCTTCGCCTGTTCCCCGCCACCCCGCCCCACTGGGAGCTGAGGGCAGCCCCGTCCTCACCTGGAACATCTGGATCATATCCTCACAGTTGCGCTGCTGGGCCACGTCGCACAGTTTGGCAGTGATGTCAATGCGGCGACAGATGTCCATGTCTACCTTCATGGCCTTTTCCTGGATCTTGGTGTCCAGCTCTGACAGGTTCTGTCCAAGGAACACAGCGAACAGTGAGGAGGTGCCCAGTACTCCAGACGAGGACTAATGAGGCCTGGCACGATCCGCAGACTCCCTTTCACATCGCGGGCACCTCCTCCGTGAAGTCTCTTGACACCTTAAGCAGAAAGCACTTCTTCCTGCGTGGCCGCCCCACGGCACTTTACCCATACACTGGGCGCTGGGCTGCCCGGGCCACCGGCTCCCTGGCCAGACGGGAGCCCTGGAGGGTGTGGCCCAGTGCCTGGGACTTGCAAGGGCTCCCTCGAACCATCGGCAGTCCTTACCCTCCCGGAACTTACGTTCCCGGAGGGAAAGAGATACTACTAGGAGTGAGGAGTGGAGAAAGTATTGAAGTAATAAGCACAGCTAACACCTACTTAGCTAACACTACATGCCAGGCACTGTCCTAAGTGTGTTATAATCTTCACAGTAACTCTGCAAAGTACATGCCTTTCTTTTCCCCCTTCCACACCAGCAGATGAGGGTTCAGAGGTTCAGGATGCACCCGAGGCCACAGCGAGCAAAGTGGCAGAGCTGGGGTCTGTGCCAGGCAGCCAGGCTCCAGAAGCCGCGCTCTCACTGACTGCCCAACAACCCCTGGTAACGACGGAGGCTGCACGCCTCTGCGATGCAACACTGAGACCTTCTTTCCTTCCCTTTCTCTGGATTTAGGGGGTAACAGGGGAAAAAGGGAAGGATAGCAAAGGGGGCGATGGACAGGGCATCAACAGGCTAGAACCAGCAGGGCCCGCTCCTCCCCGCCTCAGGCAGCTAACTGCACGCACAGTGAGCGTGAGGGCCAGCGCGAGGGCTGCACTCACGTTGCTCATGAGCCCCTTGAAGACCACCAGCTCAGCCTTCAACTGCTCCACCTTCGTCGCCAGCTCCTCTTGGCAGGCGTCAGCCTCTTGGGCTTCCTACAGCCGGGAGAAAACCCTGCCATCAGTGGCACCGTCAATGTTGGAAGAAGGTAAAGACAACAAGGAGGGACAGGGAGGCCGCACCAGCGCCTCGGGGCAAGGGGGGACACCAAGGGAAGCACAGGCAGCAAGTGGGCGGCCACCCTCACCTCCTGGAGCTCATTTACACGCTCCTGCAGCTGTATCCGCACCGTGTATTCCTCTTCCCACCTGACAGACACGGGGGAGAGGCGGAGAGAACATAGGTACAGAGCCCTTCCCTGCCCCCACGGCCCCCTGTCCCCCTTCTCTGGCTCAGGCTCAGTCCCCAGGTCTGGTTCCCTAGATGGGGAGGAGCAGCGCACAGGAATGTCTGCCGGGCAGCCGGTGGCCAGCTGCAGCTGTCGGGAGGCTCCACACTTCCTGGCAAGCGCCAAGCTCGCCAGCTGCCTTCCCGGAACCTCTGGGCCACGCACCAGGAACTCTATTTAAGAGCCACTGCGGCTGTTCTGGTCCTTTGCAGTGCCCATCCCTGCTCAGGCCCCAGCTCAACCAGCTGTCTGGCTGGCCTCATCGCCCACCTCCTGCCCCCACCAGACCACCAGGTCCACCCGGCCCAGTCTCCCACCTTCAGTCGCACAGATCCGGTCTCCTGCCCGCACCAGAACAGAGCTCGTCTAGCCTGCTGCCCTGCCTCTTGTGGTACCATTTAACCCTGTAAAAGCATCTGCAGGACACATACCGCATCAACAGAGTTGGTCAAGAGCCTGGTAGGAGACACTTGAAGTCCTTCCCCCACAAGCTCCAGGAACTACCCACCCATCCCCCTCTAAGTGAGCCACACAGAGAGGTAGCAGGGCTGGCCCTGCGACCAGAAGTCCCCCAGCAGCATTACAGCAGTGGACATCTAGAGCCTGGGGTTACTGAGCACCCAAACCCAGAGGGAACGGGGAAGTAGAGCATGCAACGGGCCCGTTAGCGGGGCAGATGAGAACCAGAAACGGCACTTCCCGGGATCCAGAATTCAGAGGCTAAGCCACAGTAGGGCAGACGACACTCTTGGCCACAGGGGAGGGCCCTAGGGCATGTTTCCCAGGGCCAGCTTTTCACGCCCCATCTGCTCCGGTGCATATTCTATTCCACTCCAGAGAGGGAAGGGGGGTGGGGACCCCCACTGCTCAGGATGTGGCCCTGGTGTCTCAGGGCCCACAGGTCGGCTGGCATAGCAGCCCTATTCATGTAAGCTCATCACTCTTGCCACATTCTGGAAAGGCTTCTTTCAGTCTGAGAAGGGAGGGGGACTGCACCAACAGAGAAACTTAAACATAAGAAAGGTGGTTAGGAAGTGGCAAAGAAGAAAGCAAGAGAATTAAAATGCGAGAGATCAGCTTCTGCAACATCGAGTAAGTCCTGTCCTCCCCAGGCCTTCGTCTCCCTTCCTATCTCGCTCTCCCCAGTCCTGTCTCCTTGCTCTCCTCAGCTCCCCGCCCACAGCCGCACTGCAGCAGTCCTAATAATAACTCCTCCACACCACCCCGGCCCCCTCCCGGCGCGCAGGGCAGGAGGAGGCAGCCAGTCCGGCCACCAGCCTGCCGGCTCCCCGACCCCGCTCTTCCCAGGCGGGCCACGTGTGTCCTTTTCCTTTCCGCTCGGGCATCCTCGGCCAGACAGGGGTAGTGAGGGCCCTAGTAGCATCAGGTTATGTGTGTTCTTAGATAAGACCATTATCTTTTCTGGGCCTTGGTTTCTTCTTCCACAACACAAAGGCATGGGATGTGGTGCCCTCACACCCCTGGAGTACGCGAGTCGCTGGAGGAGGGGGGCAATACTGACAAGGGCGCAATAACCCTGGACAAGATGCATCAGGGAGGGCAGGAAGTTGGTCACTGAACTCAACAAACTCAGGTGGAAACTTAAGCAAGGAAGTTAGCTAAAGATGAAGATTAATGAAATCTTACAGGGTAAAAAAATCTGAAAATGAATCATCTGGAAGCTCACTACAATTCTAGTGCTCTCCACCCAGACTTTTACACAGACAAGCTCATTTCGGCCTCCCTTCCAATCTGGTCTCACAAGGTTCCCTTAATGTGGGCAGAATTGGAGACATTTTTATGTATTCTGCACTGACCAAATACCTCCCTTCCAAATAAACTATATCCTTGAGTTGAAGAGAGAAAGCAGGACCATTTCTATATTGGAAAAACTGAGGCTCAGGGGAAAAGTCCCACAAGGCAGGGGAGCCGAAAATAGAACCCAGGAGGCCTCAGCTACTTCCCAGTTTAGTGCCCGAGCCATCCCCATGCCTTCCAGACTAAGGACAGGAGTTACAGTGTTGCTATAAAAAGCGCAGAAGGAGGGCATCTCATGGGTGGAAGAAGAGTAACTGCCAGTGTCACGTACCACACCAGTTTAGCCACAGGCCCTCTGCACAGCAACGTGCTGCAGAGCGATGAGCTAATCAATCCCCACGGAACAACTCTTTGCTGCCCTGGACAGCTGGACCAAGGACAAACACTGTTTTGGTTTAAAAAAATGAAAATGCTCCTGAGAACAGCAGTTGTTCCTGTGGTTGTGGATGTATTCCAGAACTGTCCCTGTTCCGCTGCTGACTGCATTAACTCCTGGCAAGCTGGCTCTGGGTGGCACCTGAATGATGATTTTAGGACAACTGAAACCCCCAAGGACACATAATGTGGACCATAACTAAGGAAGCCAGCATGCGGACAGGACTCGAGCTTAGAAAGCCTGCCCCTCTGTGACCTGGTAGACTCCACCTGGTGATAAATCCCTGAAGGTTGCCCCCAGACCCAGCGGTAATCTAGAATATTCATTCAGCCAATCCTCACCCACTACTGAACCAGACACCAATCCCTGCTAGGCTGGGTTGCAAAGGTAGTTCCTTGGCCTGCCCACAAGGGGTCATAATAGCTGGGCTGAGACTGGAGGTCCCCAAACCAAAGCCTCCTTCTGTCACCCCTTCCTGCTCCACCATGACATGGGTCACAGAGCATGCAAAGCACTGCCTCTGTTCATGCTCCTGTCCTATTGGCCTAGTTACCAATCATCTTAGGAATCCACGTGGTGTACAGCCAGCACTCTGGCATTACATCCCTTGCCCACACCCCTTGGGTCCAGGTTCCTCTCAGAAAGCCAAAACTTCATCTGCAGAACGCACTGGACCCGCCCCAAGCCACTTACAGCCCAGGGTGTGTCAGTGTCCCCAACTTTTCCCTATTTGGTTCCTTTGCTGGCTCTGTTCAGGATTCTTCCCCTTTCGGCTCTTTACTGATCTCCCACTGGCCCTATACCAACAACCTGCCCCTTCCTCTTGCCCTTCCCCTACAGAATTCTCTTTACTCTTTCTTTTCCTATTTTTTTACCTACTCCAAGCAGTACTTTGAGGTCTCCAGTGGATCGTGTAGAACCTGGTTTCCATCGATATTCCTCTGGGAAACCCTGGGCAGTGGCAGGATCACCCACCGCAGGGTGGAGCCCCTCCTCCCTCACCACCCCCTTCCAATTTCACTTAGTTTCCCAAATTTAAGCTCTACCCTTAGCCTCCTACTTTTGGTCGGTGTGTGAAGCTTCTATCCCAAAATTGCTGAGACTGGTAGGGGCACAGTGTGCCCAGATGCACACCTTTCAGACCAGAGCCCCTCTGACGGCTCACAAAACCCCACAGTTAACACAGTCATCCAAACCCTGCAGCCTAGGCTAGAGACAGAGAGACAGCCAAAAGTATGAATCCCCCAGTGTTTTCCTCCTCCTTCCTGTCACGAGTTGGACTTCTGCATTCTCTGCATCCAATTCCTTCCAAGCTCCTCAGTATACAGCAGGAACTTACTCTTATTCTATTCACCCCCAATTCCTCGGAATCCACACAGACTCCCCATGCCGTTGCGAGTGTCATGACACGGAGCCCCGTCCCCAGCTTCCTGGTCCCTACCTTCGCTTGTATTCGTCCCTCTCCCGCTTCACTTTGGCCAGCACGTTGTAGAGCGCGCGGATCTCGGGGGTGATGGTGTCGATCTGGACGCCGACCCCATCGGGGTGCACCCACGACAAGCCAGGCCCTTGCACCAGAGTGGGCTCCAGTCCCGGCCCGAGCCGGCGGGCGTGTGAGAAGGACCAGATGGTGCCGGGCATGAAGCGGGCCGACGAGGAGTAGGCGGTGGAGGTGGAGGTGGAAGTGGAAGTGGATGGCGACGAGTGGCAGGCCGCGGAGGACGCGAGGGGGCCGGCCGGCGAGCGCGCGGGCGAGCCCAGCACCCGCGCTGAAGGGGTGCAGACGGCAGCCGGCCGGGCGCCCAGGGGCAGCCCCAGGGGCCGGATGGGGCTGATGAAGCCGGTCTGCACGGCCTGGTCGCGGCGAGCCAGGCCCCGCCTGCCCTGCTTACCCTCCTCCAGCGCCTGCTGCAGCTGCTTCTCCAGCAGCCGGTTCCGGCGCTCCAGCTCGTGCACCTTAGCCAGGAAGCAGCGGAACCGGAGGTTCAGGGTCTTGAGCACGTTGATGTTGGAGCCCAGGTCGTTGCGGAGGGCCATGGCGGCAGGCGGGGCCGAGCCCGGCCCGGGCGGCGAGTAGGCAGCGGGGCCGGCCGGGGCGAGAGGCGCCGCGGGCAGGTCCCCTCCCCCGGTGAAGTGGTCACCTCCCAGGTGGTCCCCCAGCGGGCCGGCCAGGCCCTGCTGCTCCTGCTGTAGGAGGAAGAGATTGGGGCCGAATAACGGATTCATGGCTGCGCCTTCTGCTGGGAGATGGAGACCGGTGCAAGAGCAGGGATGGAGGGCGAGCGGGAAGAGCCAATGAGGCGCCAGCGGGCCACGGGCGGCCAATCAGACGCCTCGGCAAAGGGGCAGAGGTCAGAGGCGGGGCGGGCCGAGAGGAAGCCAATGAAAGGCTCCAATTGGAGGCTGGCCCCGGACCTTTCCCGGTCGGAGACCGGCTGCTAGCCCTTCTCTGGGGTGCGACTGCTTGGAAAACAGCCAAAGTGGTGTAAAACCCGGGACCTCCAGCATCCCGTGGGTTCTGATGGCAGGAAGCCAGTCTTCCCTCCACCCCATCGCCCTCCTGTCCCCAAACACCCTACCTCTGACTCCATGGCTCTCCTCTCCTGGGGAGACCAAGGGATCACAGGAGCCTAAAACTGACCTGATTTCTCAGTATTATCCAACCATTCCCTCTCCAGAGGATGCCAGTCCCACCTTCCCACCTCTACCCTTGAAGCAGCAAAGTACCCAGTCCCCTCAAAAAACACTCAGTGGCCAGAGGTTGTAAAACGTATACTACATTTCACATGTATGCACAGCGGGGAAGCCATCCTCACAGAGGTAAGCGTTCCAACCCAGTGACAATAGCAGTGAGCCACCTCAGTCTAGTTTTCAACCATCCATCTACGACAGCAGTGGCTGGCTGTTGTCCCTGGACTGAGATTTCCTCCTTTTTGCTGGTGGGGGCCGGCTGGAACTCAGCGGAGACACCGTGGGAATCTGAGGCCCTTCTGGGGTGCCATTCTGTTTCTGGAAGGCAGCCCTCTTGAAAGGCTGCTCTGACAACTGCTGCTTTACCTTCTCAGGCCCTTTGGCCTTCCCAAGGGGCTGATGACGATCCTTAGGCTTCGGGGTGGCCTGGGTCTTGGAGAGGGATAGCACAGCAGACATTTCTGTGTCCATGCTCTTGGGAGGGGCATTCTGCTTCACAAAGGCAACTTTCTTGGAGGACTGCAATTCAGGTGATTGCTGCTTTAGCTTCCCAGTCACCTTTGGTTTCCCAGTCACTTCAGCTTTTTTAGCTGGCCGACTACTCCCCTGGAGCTTGGAGGAAGCTTGGGCCTTTGTGACGGCAGGTACAGTGGACAATTCTGAGTCTGCCCCTTTGGAGATGCCATTCAGCTTGTGGAAGGCCTTCTTGGGATGCTGCTGTTTCTGCAACTGCTGCTTTGCCTTTGTAGACCCTTTGGCCTTCTTGGCTGGCTGGCTGCTGTTCTTAGACTTGGGGGTGACCTGACCCTTCAGGTCAGGCAAGTCTGTATTTGTAGGGGTGGCTGTTGCAGAATTTCCTGGGGTTAAAATTAAACAGATGGTTTGAGAAGAATGGGCCTCATCACCAATCATTAGTGGAAGAGACAAGTAGAGGTTATTAACATATGGGAATTGCCACCTCTTGGCCAACAATTCCACACAACCAGGACACTGCCTAAGAGCAGATTACCTAGATTCCTATTACTTAATATCACCTGGCCTTTACTCAATCCTATTTGAACTTTGTATTAAGAGATCACTGGCTATCCTTGGGCCAAAAGCTTTTTATAGGAAGCTGCACTCCCTTGAGGACAGCAGGTAACAAGACACACAAGAGGGAACTGAATCCCAGGGTCTCCTGAACAAATCTGAAGCACTGGGCTTTTTTTTTTTCTTCATTTATTCCATCCCTTTTTTTTTTAAATCAGAGAAGTTCCCCCCCAACTCCCCACACACACACAGATGTTGATGAAATGCAGAAAAATTAGAAGGCACATTCACAACAACCAGGAACAACCTAGTGAGACATCAATGGGACTGACATATTAAATATGTTCAAGTTACAGCAACTTTTGCTATTTCTTACAGTTTTTGTTGTATATTATCATTCAAATGTGACTTTTGTAAGGGCATCATTTAAAAAGGAAAAAAATAACTTAAATCACAGTTTGTATTCTGAGCAACTCTTTTCTCTTTCTTCCAATTAAACCCAGAATACAGAGCTCTCAAGCTTGTTTCCGAAAACCCCACCCTTCCCTTGAGATTCAGGCCAGACTCCTCAAGATGGCTAAGAAAGTGATCTGCAATTATTGTGAGAGGCTCAGCAAACACCAATAGATCTGTGGAGCTCTGTTCCAACCCAGTGCTGAGAATGCTGGAACAGCAGAGGTATATTATCAATATGTCAACCCTGGGCCAAAAAGAAAAAGAAACCACAATCCACATTTGGAATGCATTTAGTGCTGAACAGCTGCAGCTACTTGGTAGAATAAAGGAAAAGGCCCTCAGCCTTATGAGCACTTTGTTTTTTAAATCTTTTTTGTAGAGATGAGGTCTCACTATGTTGCCCAGGCTGGTCTTGAACTACTAGCCTCAAGTGATCCTCCCACCTCAGCCTCCCAAAGTGCTGGGATTACAAGTGTAAGCCACCATGCCTGGCCCATATGAACACTTTAACTGCACTCAAATGTGGTCCAGGGGTCAAGAACAACTCTAGCTGGGATGAAAGGGATCTTTCATACAAGCATGCAAAAGCTAGGGTGATGGAAGCAGTCACACCCCATGAGAAAGATCAATTCTTTCCCTCCCTGCAGTCCCACCCCGTAAGAAAGAGCAAAGGTGGTAATGGAGAGTGAAAAGAGCAGACCACTCACCTGTTTGGGGCTGGGGAAAAGAATTGGAGAATTTCTTGAACTTGGCAATAAAGAAACCATCCATATTGTGGGTATGAGGGTAGAAGCGTCGGGTAGAGCGAAGAGAGGGGTGGAAGCGCCTTTCCCTAAAGCGGGTAAAACCTTCCTGACCAAAGTCTAGGCCTGTGGGCACCAGCCGCACATTCCTCTTTTTCAGGGCATAGTCTACCACCCACTCATTCTCTTCCACCTAGATGTGTGGGAAGACAAAAAAGAAGGGAGGAAAAAGCAGAGCTGGAGGTAAAGGGAGCTCTCAGGGGCAACAAGCCTCCCAGTCCTGTGCCCCCTGCCCTTCATGGCGGAGGCCTCACCATGACAGAACAGGTGCAGTAGACAAGGTAGCCTCCTGTCTTGGAGGTGGCGTTGACAGAGTCAATAGCACTCAGGAGCAACTCCTTCTGAAGGTGAGCACAGCGCAGGATGTCCTTCTCATCCTGTCCCGAAGAGAGGCCCAGTGGTGTTGGGAAAAGAGGTGAGCAACTGACTGCCCAGAGCACTCCTCTACCTCACTTTCCAGTTCTGCAAGACCCAGCCAAGGCCTCTCAGCTGGTCCCACCCCTCGACCCCTCACCTTATTAGTCTTCACAGCTGGGTCCTTGGAAATGACCCCAGTGCCACTGCAGGGAGCATCCAGCAGCACTCGGTCAAAGCCCCCCACCACCTGGGGAAGAGGGGTAGGTTTATCAAATGTTTTCTGCAATCTGCAGCACACTATTTATTTCCTAGGGGCAAGTCTAAACATTGTGATGTCACGAAGGGAGACAGTAAACTGGAAAAAGCCTCAGGAGAGACAGACACCGAGGGGAGGAGTCCCACCTTCGGGAACTGGCGCCCGTCGCAGTGACTGATGATGGTGTTGGTGACTCCCAGCCGATGCAGGTTGCCCACAACACTCTTGAGCCGCTCAGCATTGGCATCGTTGGCAAGGATCACCCCTGTGTTCTTCATCAGCTGGGCTAAAGGGAAGGTGGGCCACAGTGCTGACCAGCTGGCTCCTATGCCTCCACACTTGCTACCCACCCTCCAGCCCAGGAATCCACAAGTGAAGTCTCATCGCCTCAAAGCACACTTCACTCCCAACAAGCCCCACTCCCCTCTGCCTCCTGCACAGGTTGATCCGGCATGCACCGGCCCCCCAGGATCATCAGCAAGCCTACTAATGTGGTTTTTCCATTTTCACTGAATGTCTTTCTGGTCCGAATTTAATGACTAAATTACTTCTTTTAAGTGCTAACAACTTAAAATAGTTACAGTTGCTTATTATGTGCTGAACACTATGCCACAGACTTCCAAATGCATTATTTCAACTCTCACAGCCCAAGCATAATATAACGGCCAACCCAAGCACAATTACTATCCTATTTTACAGATGACGAACCCAACTACTTTCAAGAGCAAGAGCCAGATGAATCCCATCTCTGCCTGCCCTTCTCATACCTATATAGCTGGTCTTTCCTCCAGGGGCACAACAAATGTCCAGGATCCGCTCATGTTCCTGGGGTGCCAAGGCCATGACTGGCAACATGCTGGAGGCTCCCTGCAGCATGTAGTGCCCAGCCAGGTACTCAGGGGTAGCACCTGTGGAGGAGGACTGCTGTGTGACACGCTAGAACAAGCAAAGGGGCAGAAGGGCTACTGGGCAAGGGAGGCTTACCAATAGGCACCGAAGAATCATATACCACTAGTCCTGTCTTTGACCACTTGCCCAGAGGATCCAGGTTAACCCCGCGATTGATTAGTGCCTGAAGATGAGACAGATAAAGATTTTAAAAACCTTGCAGACAGGCCAAGGCAGAAGGATCACTTGAGGCCAGGAGTTTGAGACTAGCCTTGGCAACATAGTGAGATCTTGTCTCCGCAAAAAATAGAAAAATTAACCAGAAGTGGTAGCACGCATCTGTAGCCCCAGCTACTTGGAAAATTGTCTGAGCCCAGGAATTTGAGGTTATAGTGAGCTATGATGACACCACTGCATTCCAGCCTGAACGACAGAGAAAGACCTCCTCTCTAAAACAAAAAAGAGACCCTGTCTCAAAAAACAAAAAACCAACAACAAAAAACACCAGCCTTATAATTACCCCAAAACAGATGAAGACACAAAAATGTGGTCATACCAGCACCAGCAGGTAGGTCCATGGCACCACGACTCCTAGAGTGCTTACTCAGAACAGTCACCACAGACGCACTACGCAGTCTGTCTCCCTCCCACCGTTCCATTCCATCCCATCCCATGATTCCCTTTTTCTTAACCTCGGCCTCCTAACTCAAGGTCTGAATCCATCCCAATAGACCAGTCTGACACCTCCTATTATTTTATTTTCGGGAAATGGACTCTGATTTTCCAAAAAGCTCAACCTCCTCACGATCCTAAAATTTAATGATATTGGTTATAGCACATTAAACGTAACTATTGGATTGTCTTCGCACCAGGAGATACACAATATACAGAATCATACCACTGACTTTAGAACAGGGAGCCTGGGGTCCCTGAACCCTCGGAAACAAGTTTAAAATACTGATTGTGCATGTGTCTTTTTCTGGGGTCAGGAATCAGTTTCCCCAACTTGTCAATGATCTTCCTCTAATTTCCTCAGGCAAGGGAGCAGAGATTGGAGGGATGAGTTTCTCATTTGACAGAGGTCCTAGGCCCTCAGCCTGCCTAGGCCTCTCTAGATTTGCCTCCTGGGATCATGTTCATCCCAAGAAATGCTTAGTTCTAAGACCCCACCCAGTTAGGGTGGGACAGGGGAATCCTCAGAGTTAGCAAAAGTTGCTACTTCCCCGAGATAAGCAAACCTCAAAAGCTATCTCTCACCTGAGCAAGGTCGCGTCGGCGGGTTTTCAAGGTATTGGTCCGGAGAGTGATGGGCCGGGGCACCTCATTAGCTTCCAAGAACTCTACCAGCTGCGGGGGGCAAGATAGCAGGGAATTAAGTCAGGCTGCTAAGGAGCTGGGTCTGCTGAAGAGAGCAAGGGGGCTAAATGTCTTCCTTACACCAGGTAGGAAAGTGAGAAAATAAAGCAAAGAGATTTTAGGCTGGCAATCCAGTACCTCAGATAGAGGGAAGAGGTCCATGAGCTTGCCAAGCAGGAAGTCGCCATAGGAGTAATAAATCGCCAGGTCCTTCTTAAGCCGATTCAGATATTCAGAACGGGACCGACCTTCCTCCCGCTGAGTCCCAAAATCATTCAGAACTCCCACTATATCCTGGATCCGCTTGTGAACTCTTTGCAGGTCTGGAGCCTGGGCATGTGGGCCTGTTAAGGAACTGTTTCAAGGTGTCCTAGGGTCTGGAAATCCTTCTCCCAAGCACCTTCCTCCTACCCCTCACTCTGCGCTAGAAGGATATCTTGCTCCATCTCCCCAACAGAGGGCAGCACAGATGGCTCCTCCTCATCCACATTGATCTGCAGGCCCCCATCTGTCTCCTCCTCCTTTGCGGAGCCTGACTCAGGGGATGCTTCTTCCTCTTCCTCTGTCTCCTCCTCACTCCACTGGCCCCTAGAAAGAGTCCAGGAACAGAATGATTCACAGACCAAAACAGACACCTCCTCCTTCCTCAGCTTCCTCCATCCCAGCTGCTGCCTATTCTCCATTCTAACAGTTTCTCAAACTCACCCAGCAGCTTCCTGGGCCTTCTGCTTCCGAGCAGCTCTTTCAATGGGCAGCAACTGGAGAGAGAGACACGGGGCTGGTAATGCAAGCCTGACCTTCTATCACCCCATGTAATACCTTCTACCCCTGTTATTTTATTTTTTTGCTAAATACTAATTTAACACTTGCTCTCAGAAGGAAAAAAGGAAGCTGAAGAAATGAATGTAAGATTGGCATAATGTTGATCATTGTTGAAACTGAGTGAGGAATTAATACTCTGTATATTACTCTGGATTTTTCACATAGTTCAAATTATAGGGTATTTTCAACTATTTATATTTTTATCATAGACATAGGGTCTCACTCTGTTGTCCAGACTGGAGTGCAGTGCACAATCACTGCTCACTATAACCTTGAACCTTTGGGCTCAAAAGATCCTCCCGCTTTAGCTTCCTAAGTAGCTGGCATTACAGGTCCAGCCATCTTCAACTTTTGTTACTTGTTTTTTAAAATTCACAGTTAGATCATAAGCATTTCCATAGTCATAATGGCCAATGTTAACTCATCATATACGTGAAAACATTTAATGAAGCATATTGAATACTTTGAACGTTTCCAGACTTTTTGGCAAAATGACGCACATGGTGCCTGCAAACCTGGTAATAACTCTGTAGATGGGCGGGGGTGTGGGAAACAGGTGCAATTGGGGACTTTCCCTTTTAATTCTATAGAGTTCTTATTATCTGAATTTTTCTACCAATATATCCTCATACTAATTGTGTAATAAATAACTTCTTACTTCTCAGTAAATAAATCTTTGCCTACACTTTGGGTCATCTTCCTAAACAGAGAATTACTAGATCAAAAAGAAACTTTTTAACATTCTCAGATAACAACTCTTTTATAAAAAAAAAAGTATGCATATCTACTTCCATCAGTAAAGCAACAAGTGTCCACTTTTCCACATCCTCACCAGCACTGAGCATTCCAGCTTTTTAAAATGCTCTATCCTATAGCTCTTTCAAATTTGCAAGTGTGTTGAGAGATGATGCAAGGCAGTAGGAAATGATGATGGAGCACTAAAATCCCTTTCCTCTAGTCAGGCGTACCCTTGTCACTGAGGGACAGTCTGAAGAATCTGGATCCCTTTCTGAATATCTAGAGAGGTGAATCTCACCTCTTCATCTTCATCCTCATCCTGAGAGTCAGAGTCAGCTCCATAGTCATCTACCATATCAGCATCACTGTCCTCAGAGCCCCAGAAGGCCCCCTGGTTCACCACACCATCTTCTTCAGAGTCTTCTTCCTCCTCTTCCTCATCATTGCCACGGGTTGGTGCTGGGCGCTTCTTGCCTCGAGCAGCGTTAAATAAGGACTGGGCTCCCTTCTCACCAGTTGTCTGGACAGCTCCTGCAGAGATCCCTCAGGATTTGAAGAAATCTGGACTAATGGCAGACACACATTCCCCTACCCCACACCCTCGAATCCTGTATTTTCTACCACTCCAAATAGCCTTTTTGGATGTTCCTTTCATTCCGAAAATGCTTAGCAAGTTCTTCCCCACCCAGGACCTACTCCTTATATAGCACACAGCTCCTATTTTCACTGACCTTTTGGTAGCTTTCCAGGCAAAGGTTTGGTCCCAGGAGACTTGTATCTCTTAGGGGCTTCAGTAGAGCCCAACCTCCTCTTGGCTGCCCTGAAAAGATATGACGAGGGAATAGGAACATAACTCCAGGCTCTGCCATTTCCATTACAGGGAAACATGAATCCACAATTAGCCCTCTCCACCAACCACGTGGCTAACAATGAGCAGTACCAATTTAATCTGACACCCACATTTACCTTTTTCGAGCACGACTAGACAGTCTCTTGGAATTTTCATCACCTACTATGAAGGAAAAAAAGAGGTAGCACAGGTCATGGGGAAAAAAGAAAGAGAAATGGGAGTGGAAATAAAAGCAAAAAGAGAATTAGTACGCTAATTAAAGGGAGTAGATTTAAATCTCAGCCCTGCCATTTAACAACTGTACGCGAGTTAACTTCACCACTCAGCGTCTCCTTCCTTAACAGTGCCTCCTTTACAGAACTCTAAGATGATGAAGTGATACATGCCCAAGAAGTTCAGTATACTGTCTAGGACCTGCTAGTATCTCAACAAACTGCATCTTTTATACAATGCCAACACCCATTCCCTGTCCAGTGTCCTCTCCCACCAGTCTTCCAGGCAGACTACTCACCATGTGAGAGCCAGATCTGAGCTTTCCCATTTCCATCCCTCCAAAAGGCAGTTCAGTGACTGTCTTGTCCCCTGCCCAACTTCCTCTTGCTAAACTCTTACCTAACTTTCAAAACCCAGCTTAAGATAAACTTTTAAAGTTATGCCCGGGATCCCTCTCCCTTTTAACTCTTAATGTTAAACCACGCCTCTCCTTGCATGGGTATTTGTCCCTGTCGCATCTTCCCCTAAATTCTAAATGCTGTTGACAATGAGTGTTTTTCATTCATGCTTATTTCCTAATAACTCACAAATAAGATTCCACTTAAACAAAAAATAAACAAAGACTAAAGCAAGGAAGGAGTTACAATACTGAATGGCGCAAAAGCTGGGGGATCACGGGGCCAAAATTGACCGTCACCTGCAGGCAGGAATCTGGTGAGTTCTGTCTCGGCACCCTTCTGTTTCCGGGCCTTCCGGCCTGGCCCGCGCTTCTCCTTCTTTGTAGGGTCCAACTTGCGCCCCATAGTACTGGGAAAAGGAAAAATGGGAGAAGTGCGCGTTGGAAAACAACGGCAGAACGCAAACTTAGCGTAGAGTGGGAAAGGGCGGCCTCGACTCAGCACCCCCGACAGCGTTCTGGAGGCCCGACCACGCCGCCCTCCCGCCCTGAGACCCGGGTACCACGCCCCTCTCCCTACGTCCCAGACCGGGTCAGCGCTGCCACCCTTCGTTCCCTGACTTCCTCCAGACCCACCCGAAAGTGGGTTCAAGCCAGAGACAGGCCCCCGGTATGAAGTGCAGCACTCCACGTGCACTCCCGGTTTACCACCCGGACGCCACACTCCACGGAAACGCTCCACGCAGGCGCACAGAGCAGTTTCGCCTCGTGGCCCCGCCTCTTCCGGTTGTGCCCCGTCGGCCGCAGCACCCGGAACTTACGGTCGCCTTGGGAACGCGCGCGTGGCCGGCGGCGGGTGACCACCGGGGATGTAGGGAGAAATGGGAACGCAACCATTCTCGGCTTGACCGCCCTTTTCTCAGGAGTTGGCTTTTTGCCTCACTGCCGGTTTCAGTCGGAAAAGCTGGTGCCTAGAAGCCGGCCCCTCCCCGCCAACCAGGGCACGACAGCGGGCCCCCCACCTGGCATCCACCGCCCTAGGTGCAGCCTCAAGATCATGGAACTCCAGGCCACTTACCTCCTACTCCCAACCCTTAGAATTGGAAAGTCTCTTCCCTGTTGACGCCACACCCCTGCTCAGCCAGTTAAGGTTCCCCTTTGCCTAAGTTCACATCTGGAGGTCAGGAGGGAGACATCTTGCATCCCAGTTTGGCACAATTTAGCAAGAAAAACCTACCCAGCCTTCCTTCCAATTAATACTAGGGTAGTGTCTAATAGGTGTTAAAAACTGTTCCAAAGGGCCGGGCGCGGTGGCTCACGCCTAATCCTAGCTCTCTGGGAGGCCGAGGCGGGCGGATTGTTTGAGCTCAGGAGTTGGAAACCAGCCTGAGCAAGAGCGAGACCCCGTCTCTACTAAAATTAGAAAGAAGTTAATTGGACAACTAAAAATATATAGAAAAAATTAGCCGGGCATGGTGGCTCATGCCTGTAGTCCCAGCTACTCAGGAGGCTGAGGCAGGAGGATCGCTTGAGCCCAGGAGTTTGAGGTTGCTGTGAGCTAGGATGACGCCACAGCACTCTAGCCCGGGCAACACAGTGAGACTCTGTCTCAAAAAAAAAAAAAAAAAAAAAACTGTTCCAAGCACTTAAGTGGTTTATCTTCATATCCCTGTGAGGTAGATGTCTTATTTCACACGTGCAAAGTCTGCAGCCCAGAGAAGTTAACTTGCTCGAAGTCATAGAACCATTAATTAAGCGGTGACACAGGCACTTTTGCAGCCTCTCCTGTTCCACAGGGGGTGGTCATCCTTGGTCGGGTGCACGATGGGCACATGCACACAGGACACAACTCTTCAGCGGACTGTCAGGACGTGAGGTAGCCTTAGTTTCCAATTACACAGGACCCGGGGCTCCTGCCCTACACACTCATGCACCTGCGCCTACACCCACACTGAACCAGAGCACTAAAATACAAGGAAACTTTTATTTTCAGTTTTCATCAAGAAATTTGCTGTGGCTTTTTATGCTTTTGGTTCTTTTTCCTTTTTTTTTTTTTTTCCACTTTATTTCGTTCTAGCCGCTCAGTGGCTGGAGCCGCTGGGTTCCTGGTATTAAAAAGATGCCAACAGAGGTAGCTGTGTCTCGCCCAGGGGCCCAGCCCACTCTGAATACCCCCCAAAAAGGAGAAAAGAAAAGACAAAATAAACCAACAAAATAAAACCAAAAGGAGGAAGAATTTCAGATCATTTTCTTCAAGCCTGGCAGGAACCCACAAGAGTTTGTGTGTAACAGATGTTACAGTGGGAAGAAGCCAGGGTCCAGAAGGCCAGCCCGCCAGCTCCCTGCAGATGGCGCCGGCGCTACTGCTGCATGTCTCTCCAGCAGGAAGGGCACCACTGCCCCTCACCCTCTCCCCTCCCCCAGTGCACGGGGGGCTGTTCCTTTACAACATGGAAGATGGGCAGAAGGAAGGTGAGGGTCTCTCAGGCCCCCAGGGGAGAAGCTGGGACAAGAGAAAGTGAGGAAGGTCACTGCTCAGCGGTGTAGGTGGTATCATCAACCTGGATCTTCACTGTTGCTGGGCTACCTATATAGGGAAAGAAAGCCAAGGAAGTCAGAATTCCAGACCACAGGAATCTACCCCATCCCAAGGGAACTCAATGATACACAGCCTGCCTGCCCAGTATGTTAACCTAGGGACAGAGCAAAGTTACAAGTTCCACAGTGGTTCTGTGGGAAGAGCTGGCACAAAGAAGAAATGGCCCTACCTGCTGTGGGGCAGGTTCGGGTGCGCGGTTTGCCAGGCGGCTGAGAATGTTACGCTCTGACATCTGTAACCGCACAGCAACTGGGGGAATTCGGGCAATGGTAGCTGGCAGTCGAGTCACATCCGCTTTCATGTCACTCAGCAGTTCTTCCAGCTGCTTCAGAACTACATAGGAGAAATAAAAAGGTGGTGAGCTGAGATAGTCACGACAGCTCCTTCTACCCTGGTGGACCAGCCTCCCCCATGGATTCTCAGTGACCAAGTTACTGTGATGTGTTATTGCCTTTTGTCACTGAGTCACGTGACCAGCCTCCACTGTGCTCAAATTCCTATTCCTTATATTCTAGTTCCAACTGGCCACAAATCTGTGCTTTTTAAAGACCCTCATTATCCTTTGCTCTCTATTGTCTGTATTTCCCCCACTTTTTTTTCTATATGATACTATATCAAGTAATTTTTTTTTTATTTCAGCATATTATGGGGGTACAGATGTTTGGGTTACGTATGTTGCCCTTCCCCCAACCCCAAGTCAGAGCTTCAAGCATGTCCATCCCCCAGATGGTACGCACTGCACTCATTATGTATGCATATACCCATCCCCTCCTCCCCCCCCCACCTGCCCGACACCCAATAAATGTTATTCTTATATGTGCACTTAGGTGTTGATCAGTGAAACCAATTTGCTGCTGAGTA